TTGGTATAGTTCCTTTTGAAACGCAAAGGAAAGATGTCGGGACGGGCTAGGGTTTCTGTTAAATGTCGGCTTCGTGGCAAATCGAGCTTATTATGTGTGTACATGTGAAATAATTTCCCGTACGGCCCGACCTAACTCAGTCATTAAGTACATAGTTTGAACACATAACATTTTACTGATAAATAAGTATGTAAATCATAACTTCAAAGTATTGAAATCATAAAGTAAAAGAGCTACCTATTGATAAGTACATTGTGTCGAGTTTATGGCACCAACATGTGGACTTTTAACTTTGTTCCAGTCCAAGAGTGGGCTGGACCAGATAACAGATACTCKTTGGATGTATTTCMTGGCATCGATCTTTTAGGCCATTTTATCATCCTGTTTTAGACTCTCTAAGACACCCAAGAATTTATACTTCTTTCTTCCTTTAGGCATGCAATCGCAGTTGAACCAAAATGTTTGGAACTCGAAGTGATTACATATGTAATATTTATATACAAATTAGTACCTTAAGAAAACGATCAATTTTTCTTATATTTTTTTTTTGTGACGAGTACTTTCCGAGCAAGTTATGAGCTTTTCAAAGACATGAATTTGTCATGAATTTGTCTTTATATATCATGATATTCATACATTTTGATGATAGCTATTCAACTTTTTACACGAGATCGGTGTAAAGTCTGGCTTTTATTTTTCAAGTGTACTACATAGACCCTTTCTGAAATGCAATATTATGTCGCAATGTAGTGTAAACTCAGTAAAACAAACATCTTTTGCTCGATTATGCARCCATATATGGCGTTGTTTGTACTATTGCAATTTTGAAAGGGTCTAWKATATCTGCACAAATTTCCAAAAATACAGTCGCGGGGAGTAATGATTGCTGTAGGTTTTGCTTGCTTGCTAGATATTGTTCGTTTTATTCCCTCTTTTTTTCTAATGCAATAAGTCCGAAGAGCAAATATAATAGAAATTTTTAAAAAGAAATAGGAAATCACGCGAAAATTCCGAGTCATTTTATAGCAAATGATATGATTGGGTACCCTTTGACGAGCCTGCATTCACGGTACAGCAGTTCAGGCATGTTTATATAAAACAATCTAGTACCCAGAGCCCGCACTTTTGCCATCCAGTGGTTGTCAATGCGTGAGAGACTCTGGGGGAATGCGTTATTTCTCGATTCGTGATTGGCTGAAAATGACGCGAGCGCGCATTGTTTTCAAGTCGGTTTTTCAAGTCGCCAGCGCGCGCTCGCCTGTTTAGTCAAAAA